GCACACAAACCAACGCCATGTAAGGATAGAAGTCCTTATTCGCCCTCCTGCCTTTGTTAAGTGCAGTGTGTGTGTGTGTGTGTGTGTGTGTGTGTGTGTGTGTGTCTGGGCAGAGCAGACTGTATGCTGAGGCCTGGCAGACTGAATCTACAGTGTCACATGTCTCTACATGCAGACCTGGTGGTGTGTTTTCATCAGCATGTCTCACAGGAATGTACAAAGTTTGTTAAATATTAAATGTTAGCTCCTGGGGTGATTAAACAAAATACTTTAACAGACATTTAGCAGCTAGAAACACCATGAGTGTGGGCGTTAAACCCTACGCAACCCAGATGTGATCTTTTCCTGCCGCCACAACATACGTGAACATCTCTAAAAATCTAGGTCACATAGGGTTACAAATCACATGGGTTGTTGTGTGTCCTGCTTTGCCCATTTTTCCCCATCAAATTTAATCATTACACATGTATAGTAATCCAGACAGTCAGACCCTGCCCTACTTTTGCATCTGAGCGAGAGACAGAGGCACAGACGTAAACATAAACACCGAGAGGCGGTCAGGTCAATCAAAGAGACAGAGGAGGGGTAGGCATGCATGGCAGACCCAGACAGTGCATGACACCAACTCCTCCACTGCTCCGCTTTAGGAAAAAGAGAGGGAGAGGGAAACAGGGTTGCTAGGAGACGTCACCCAATGCAAACACAGCACCATCTGCTGCAGTGAGATTCGGAGTGGGTTAGCCAAGTCGGACCGAGAGAGGGAAATCAGCCCAGGAGGATCATTGGAAACAACTCTACAGGGAGAGACAGGGGAGGACAGAGGACCAAGGGAGGAGGTGAAGGATGATAATGGAAGATGAAAGAAAGAGAAAGGAGTGAGAGTGGAGGGGAGTGGAAATTAGGAGAAGGGAGAACAGGGAGGAAAGAGGAGGAAGTAAGCATGACGGGAAGCTTGATTAATGTATGACTAAAAGGTTTGACTCTTATACCCACTCATAACCCTCCACCGCAAACACACACACACACAAACACACACACACTCACAGAAAACACCCTGAGCATTATCCTCACGTCACTCTCTGTACTAAGGTGAGATGTAATAAATGCTGGTGAAGGCAAAACCAAGCTGCTGCTGCTGCTGCTGCTGCTGTTGATTTTTCCAAGTCCCCCATTAGTAACAGATGATGCACTTGTTACCATGGGGACAATAAAATGTCACCATCAGATATCATAGTTCAGTCACAGCAGGCTCTGCGCCCACGTTCTCTGATGATGATGATGATGCCTTGTCAATTCACACAAACATCCACCTCACAGTTAGCGTGAATGACTCATTTCTCACATTGTGGCTGTTATGACTGGTGAGTTTTCAGTAGGAAGATTGTGATTAGTGTGCGGAAGTGGTACTCAACGCTATTATCTGCAAAAACAAAACATTGCGCTAAGGTTCACATGAATTATCTGTGTCACAAATATCAATTTCATCTCTTAAAGGGGTTCTACAGTTTTACACGTCTTCCTCTCACAGATGACACTACAGCCCTTGTTCTAGTATAACAGTAGCTTATGATAGTTAATGAAAGTTAACTATAGATACGATTACAGTCCAACAAAGCCAAAATGCTAAACCTACATCTGACTTTTTGACACCTTACCATAAACATTATTATACTATAGAGCAATTAGCATCATGAAAAATTTAGGAAACAGAGGTAGAAGCTAATCAACAGTGACCACACTCCCGCACTACTTAAAGCCACAGACTGCATAAAATAATGGACGTAGCTATCATGACATCATTCATTGGTTTCTGAACTCTCATTTTGAAGCTGTGAGTTTGGCTTTTTTTTTTTAAGCCAAAGGTGATAATATTTGGATGCGAGGGTGGAGCTGTGGAGGAGCGAGGGTCGGATGTGACTCATCAACTGCAGACAACTTGTCATACATTTCACAGCAACGTCTCTTCCCAGACATCATGACCTGGTTACTTGAGATAAACAACAGACCTTGTTGTGAGCAGTTTCATGGGAACTATTTCCTTTCTACAGAACTACACCCGCCAACCGTATCACTGCGCTGAAGGAAGAGTGCATCTACTCATGGACGAAAGGCTCCCGTGTGTAAACATAAATGGCGCCCTCCTTTGTTAAGCTGTAATGTTAGCTAGCTGAGTGGTGAGGTGAGCTAGCATTAGATGCATGAAAGAGACACTGCTGCTGAGTTTTTCAAATGTATTTTTTGGCACTTTGAGCACCACAAGCCGAGTGCCATCTAGTTCCATTATATTGGAGAGGAGGCAGACACCTCTACGGCCGATATCTCCAACACTCTGCAGCTCACAGTGTGGATTGCTAAAAAGCACTACAGGTAAAAGCCAGAACACACCAGCGGCAAATGTTTCGTATATTATTTTCAATGTACAACCCCACAGTGGTGGCGGCTAGACGTGCGTCAGCGTTCCTAGGCAGCATTTCACACCACTGTCCTATTTCCAGCTTTGCCACCCCTGGAATTAAATCCATTTTTCCCCCACTCATGCTCTGCTTGTATATACCGATATACTGATATATATACCGACTTTTCTCTGCTCCTACGGCAGCTCGATTCCTCTCCTTACTATGGATGTAAAAAGAGAACTCTGTACTTGTTGCTGTCTCGTGTGTGACAAAGAAGGGACGCGGAGAGATTTATTGTTGAGGTCAAGATATATCCTGAGCTAAACAATCCACAGTCCTATCATGAAGACAGTGGTTATAAAGAGATTGCCTGGCAGAGGAAAAACAAATATGTGTTTTGGATCTGGGGGTGAAGTGTCCTTTTAAGATTTCAAATTTCATAACGGAAAGCCTGCGTGGTCATTAACAGAGCAGGGATGGTTTACTGAAAGATGCTGCTTAGTTGCACTATGGAAAAAACAGATCCAGTGTTGGAGCTTGACTCACACTAGAGATTAAAAGTCAGATTATCTCAGCCTCTGCTGCATCAGTTTTACACATTTCATATCTCTTGTGAGATGCCCGACTCAGCTGAATCATTAAAGTGGCCCTTTTAAAGTGTATGACACTTGGAGATTTAAGGTTGCATGATAAGACACAAACATTATATTCCATACAGATATCAAGGTGCATTTTATTAGATGAAGATCCAATGATATATAGTCAACATCAGCATCCTCCTTTACAAAAGACATTAAAATTGAAACATTTTCAGTAAAAAAGTAGTATCGTACAGCCAATGTGGGGTACCAGAGAGAAAGCATGACATGACCTAAATCATATTCATTCATCACCGTATGGATCATAGATAAAACACAATACATTAACACTATTTACAGTCTGTAACACAGAGGTCGACATGAATGTTAATCCTCGTGGTGAATACAGTAAATAGAATATATTCATATATTAAGATCTTTTGTTTACAAAATCATAAAGCATTATATATATCACAGAGAAAGGCTATCCACAACCTTGGCTTTCAGCTATACACACCCCCTTGTTTTGCAACACTTTGCCCAAGCAAAATGATCTTTTGTTTGGTCAATTTATTGTTGATGGGTGGGTTCTTTGGTTGTGCTGGGTTTATTGTCGCAGCCTCCGACTGAGCAGTCAGCTGCTGAGTGTTACTGAAGTTATCGGTTTAGGTTTGGTTGTAACTGGAGAGTCTTACTCGCCGTACACGGGGCAACTTCTAAAGCAATGCTCGCAACAACAGGAAACTATGCGTGACAAACAGGTCAACTAATTAAGGTTAACTAATTTTCTAAACCAGGATCACATTTAATCTTAAGAAGAATCTGGCGGCTCAAATGGACTGAGGTGAAACTGATCAGATGTCGTGTTACAGCACAAGGTTTCATTGCAACTCTAATACACACAGAATGTTCTTTTCACAAAGATGTGACGAGGACCAAGCACAAAACTGGTCAGAACACTTGTTTTACTTCATGCATGCATTAATGTTGCATTTCCACAGGATGGATTCCCTCATTTGAAAATAACACATTTCCATCAGAGAATGACAACACATCCAGCACACTGTGTAGGATCCTGGCCTCAGCAAAGAAAAGGTAGCATCAAGGTACCTGAGCAATGCTCCCCCATTAACGATACCTCACATTTAACCAGGTGTCATAACTCGAAGGCCGATGATGCATGAGGAATATTTAAGTTAACTGAGGCGGAAGAAAAATGATTTAAAACCTGGGAAGATAATGTGTTGGTGCATTAAAGCTTGGGTAGGCAGTTTCATTTTGGGCAAAAGTCCCATAACAAACTTTGAGTAATTTAAGTGGTCTGAAAGAACACTAGACTTCTGCACCTTCTCTTGGCTCTGTTTTCAGGCTTTAGAAAACCTAGTCTGTGACAGGTTTTACAAATGCAGATGTGAATGCATGTTTCTTTAGATGGTAAAATTAAATGGTGGAGAGTTGCTATTTCAGCATTGGCAACAACTGCCTCCACTGCAAAGCAACCCAAAAAAGGAAGACGGATTTATCAAAGAGTCTAAGGGTGCTTTCAGACCTAGAGCTGTCTTGCTTTGGTCTGAATCAGGGACTATTTTTGTTACAAAGGGGCACAATTGCCAAGAGTTGGTTCGTGTTCTCAGGCAGCATTTCCAAGCAGACCAGATCAAATGCCTTGTGCGAGAAAGCTGCTCTTGATTGGTCAGAATTTTGATGAGGGAAAAATCCAGGACATAAAGCAAACGTTGAAGAAAAGTACACTTGCAAGATAAATGTGACACTTTCTAATGTCACAATGGAGGGACAACTACACAGGTTGATTTTAGCGCTGCTCATCGTGGACTATATTGCTGTCATTGTTCATTTTAGTCAAACCATACAGTTTGAAAACGAGGCGCGGCTCCAACTAGAAAACAATGTTTTGATGCATTGGATGTGCTGAATGTGCATATTAAGGCAGTACAGGAGGAGGTGCACATTAATAATCCTCCAGGACTGTAACATGCTCATGTTTAACCCAAACAATGTGTCATGTGACTGCAGTTGGTTCAGATCAAGGTCGGAACACGTTCTCACCACAAAAGAACCGAACCAGAGTTCGTTTGTAACCGGACTGAGACCACCTCTTCAAGCAGGTCTCAGTCTGGTTGTATTGGTGTGCACCTAAGTGGGATTGCTGTGTTCACACTTGCCCAAACAAACCGCACTTAGGGGGCAAAGGAACTTGAGTCAATTGAACCGAACCAAACAAGACAGATGTGAAAGCACCCTAAAAAAGAGTCTGACAATAAAAAGAATAAAGCAGTATCAGCAAAGCATTTCAGAGATAGAAAGTGTCCATATGCTAATGCTAATAATTTAGCCATCTGCTAACCTGAGCCAAAAAGACTTGTGGCTGCGGCTTCAATTTCATGTTTATGTGCCTGACGTTAGCTAGAGTTTCGAATCACAGTGTGTCCACCTCACTCGCCACCTCACTGGGTCTGGAGACAAACCCCCAGTCACCGAACAGTCTCCACTCCCCTCTGGATCAGCCAACAGGTTAGACCTAACGCTGCCGCTGGCCACCAGCCCACTGTGACACCTGGCTCTGGGGGATTTGCGGTGGCTGAATTCAAGCCGCTACAGCTGCCAAACGAAGGTCTGTCTCCAGAGCTGCTGCCAGCTCTCCTACTGAGAGGGCAGTCCACTGCAGTGGGGACTGAGGCAAAGGGATGTCGAGGTGGCTAACATTAGCCTGTTAAATCTTGTCTCATTTTTGGTCTGATAAACAAAGAGACAGAGAGAGCGGGGCAAAGAGGGGCTGAAAGAACACAGTGTGTGTAACTCTACAATGAGATCAATGTATGGGAAACAGTGGGTTACTGTATGGAGTGTGTGCATATGCCTGTGGTCATTTTGGAGGAGGTTCTTGGGACAGAGTGGGGAGAGCTGCAGGAGGAGGGTCTATTTTAATTTGTTTTTTTTCTGCCTACCCCAGCTTTAAGGACAAAACAATGAGTAGGTGGGTCTATCTTGTGCGTTGCTTCATAATGTTGCCCAGTTGGTTTACTATGTTTTGTGAGTTAGTGAAGATCAGTGTAACAGCAGTTAAACAGCAGTCATCCCAGACTGAAAGAGAGCCTAAGAGTGATACCTTTTTATACATATGCATCTATATTACACACCGCTGTGGTTATGTATATACCTCGTAACTTCAGTAAAAGTAATAATTTACTTTCTGTGTTAATGTTTTTTACTATTTGCATTTTCCCTCGGCCCATGAAACCAGTCATGCATCGGCCATTTGTTTTGTGTCTTAAATCAAACTGTTATTTGCGTGACAGCAGGTGTTGTGTCTAACTGACCACTAGCTGCCCCCTGCCTCTCCCAAGCCTGCAGCGCCTCGTCACCTTAGCTCATTGACCTCAAAAAAAAAAAAAGATGCTCACAGTGCTTGCAAACCTTTGGGAATCCCAGCCAAAGTTGTTCACCTGAGACACGCTTATGTTGTGTAATTCTATCTGGCTAAGTAACAAAGGCGGACGCAGTGATGCGTCTACCGACACCAGACATATACGGGAAGGATCGCCAGATCACTTTACACGACTTGTTGTATTAAAGGATGAATAAAACCCAGGGGAGCTGCTTTGCTGCTGCGAGGGCAAATTCCTGTGAGGTTTTAGGACAAGCTGGTGGCTGTCTGTCTGTATCCCTTTCACTCTCGGCCCGTCCTGAGCTGCATCACTGGCAAAACATGGAGTGAATCCCAGCCAGAAGCCATCAAAGCCACTGCATAACTGGATCAGGAGCCTCCCCTCCCCACCATGTTGAGAGAGAGGCCTGTTGGGCAGCAATCCCTGCACCCACCCCCACACCCCCTTGCTGCAACCCAACGCCCATGTGCTTGGGCCTCCGTGCCAAGCCTCAGCGCCAGGCCTCATCACTGGCCCAGCTGGCATGGCCCCGATCAGCTGGATTTGCTATAATCATATTAGGTCATCTCATTCAAGCTGAGGACAGAGTGAATGCCCATCAGCTCTTCAACCAAGGCCAATGAACCCTGCCAGGCCGGCCTAACCACCCTCCTTCTGGCTAAATTTCCACTGACTGACCCGCTAACAACTTTTTCTAACATTAGTTTGAGACAAGGTGGAATACTATCGAGCTATCAAATCATGTTTCAGTTACCAAACGAAAAGACATGAAAATGAGACATCTTGCCGGCCAGACACTGTCACCTAGTCCTGCTAGCTGCGTACAAGCCTGCCTAGTCTGTCTCTCTGTCAAGCTGGGATGTCTGGGACCTTGGTGTGTGTGTGTGTGTGTGTGCGCGCGTGTGTGTATGTGTGTGCGTCGAGAGGCGTGGTAGGGAGGGATGGGCAGAGAGTTACAGAGGTTAATGGTAAATCAGCCAAACCAAAGTCACACACTCACCCACCACACACGACCCCCCTCCCTCCCTCCATTTGTCCATCCATCCATCCACCCCCCTTCCCCCTCTCCACTGCTGCGGTCGTGTCCTGGCTGCTCATCCCTCAGTCCCAGCCATTGTCCTTGATCATGTGGGCCAGCTCGATGATGAACTTGCCCTCTTTGTACTTCTGACTGCTCTCAAAGGCATGTTCCTGGAGGGCGTGGCAGAGGACAGGAGACACAGCGTTTAATTCAGAGGACAGATGGACAGAGAATAATCACATGTTTATATCTTTGACAGATAGTTAGAGAAGTGCACAGGGTGCATTTTAAAAAAACCCTGCTCATGACAGTCCCTTCAGCTGTTTATGAAAATCCTTGACTCAATCCTGGCCCGTCTCTGCTGCTGGCTCTTTGGGAGCTGGTTATATAACAGTCAGTCACTGAACACTGCAGAGGAGCCTGCAGAACCAAAACTCTGACCGGACTGGATCGTCATACCCTATACTGACAGGAATGAATCTCTCACCCCTGAGAAAGGCCACAGGTTTGAGCCTCGCAACAGTCAGCACAGACGCAGAGTCTGCCCTATTTTTGCAGGCTGTAACATGCATTTCTGCTGTAAGGTGTGTGATTAAAGATTCCTCTGGAAGACATGAATGGGATTTGTTGGAAAGTCTGAGCTACACAGATGCTGAAAATCTCCATTTAATGTTGTTCCATGAAGTGAAATACATAGACTAATACCACAATCATTATTTTTCACAGTTCACATTGTTCACATTAGTTTTCCCCTCATAAACATATGTTGACTGCAAAATGTCAGTCATTTAAAAAGTATGAATGCATCAATGGTTATCTTATCGTACTGTAAACCCAGTATGAGTATCAAGTAGCATGTAATGAAAACTAAAAGATCAAAACTCATGACGCTAGGTGGCACCTACCAAGGCTGCCTTTGTGAGCAAGTTTCTCTCATAGCTAATACTTTGGTTTATGGCTGTAGGAGCCAGAATGTTTTAACTGCTGGTTATTATTTGTTCCGGTGGTAATTGGCACAGAGGTTAGTGTGGTTTCACATTTACTAGCATGGCGCCTTATAGACAAAGAGGCTGAGTTTTTGGCTTTGATATTTTCTGTTGACCGTAATCACATCACGCAGTATTTCATTTCATCTCACTTTGCCTCAGTTATCTCAGCTGTTTGTTTAATAAACCATCATAAAACGTACCTCTGGACTTGATCGCTGGACTGGATTTCTTTGAACGAGTCACAATTAAGACTCTTTAGTGTCTGGTATGTACTGGGTCAGCCTGCTGAACTTCCGAGTGCTCATGAATCCGTAACATGTCTTGATGTAGAGCAACAATTACACTGAATGGATTAATGAGGGCCGACTAAATCAGACTTGAGTTGAGACCTCTATCAGCTAAGGCCAACTGTGCATTTGCGTTCCTTGAACGGTCGCTCTCCCGACTTTGGTGTGTGCTCATGAGCTTGAAATTGTAACGTGAAAACAACATGGATGCCACAAAGATGTGTTGTAAATGTATTGCTCAGAGCGCTTAAGCAACACACTGATAATGACAAGCAAAAGACAGATCTGGTGAGCCAGGACATGTGATTGGGAACTAATTTTTCAGATTATTTTGACACCTTTTTGCAGAAAGTATCACAGCTAGAAAGGTTCAATACACGTATGAATTTAAAGGAACCGAAACTGTGAAAAGAATCTGTCCACCTATCACTACTTTAAAGCCATTTCTTTTTACTTTAATTGATATAGTGGTCAGTCTGTGGAACTACAGCTTTCCGGTCCATCATTGTTTTGCCACTGGGCCCAAAAGTGCTTTTTCTCAAAGACTTACATTGAAAAAGAGACGACTGTAAATCAGTGGATATTTTTTTGGTACATCAACTTTATAGTACAAACACTTACATAGCCTTTATTTAAATCACTGTCCTAAAAGCTGTAAAATTCACTTATAGCCGAATATAGAGTTAATATACGACTATAGCGAGCCTGAGACCGAGCAGTTGGAAGGCGGGGTTAAAGAAAAAGGCTAGTTCTTCACTATGTGGAACATCTGGGTAATTTTACACCCAGAAATCACACTGTTTTGGCTTCATGCACCACTGAGCAACTTTCATTGCAATGCCTCCAACGCTGTATCAAGTCCTCTTTATACATCTGACATGCAAACATTAGCAAACGTAAGTATGCTAACATGCTAAACTAATAAATCGAACATAGATAACATTACACCTGCTTAACTTAAACCCCAAGGAACAGCATGGAGTCTTAAAGCTGATTTTACATAGTGGCCAAACGTGGAACTACAAAACCCGGTTACATCATGTGATGCCGCAGGGCCAAAAAATACTTTTTCTCCAAGACTTACATAGTAAAAGAGAGGTCTGTAAATCAGTGGATATGTTCTATTGAGCGTCACAACCCCTATGAAATGATTTGTTTCACTATCGGGATTTGATCCATTCAGTCCGATAACATTTTTCAAGTCTAGAGGAGCTGTGCAATTAAATCTTTCTCTCTGCATTCAAGTTAGCAGAGCACTAAACTGGAAGTTAGCCACTTGGCCAATGGAAAGCCCCCACAATGCTGAAGATCCGGGCAATTTTATGCCCCAGAAACAGAGCTTTCTGGCTTTTTGCCCTACAGAACAACTTTCAAAGTAATGAACAGGGCCCCGCCTCCTACACTGTATCCAGTTCTTTTTATATATCCATGGCTTAACATCAGTATGTTGGCATTGTCTTTGAGCATTTCAGCCCACTGCCATTAGCTCAAAAGGCTGTGCCTAAGTACAGGCTCACAGAGCTGTTAGTATGGTTGCAGACTATGTCTCAATAGCCAGTGTTCCTTCTCCTAATATGTGTCTTTATGGTGATTTTTACAAGTGTTCCAACTAAAGGACTTTTACAGGGGTGTGTGGGACTGTTTTTGATTAACAGATGTCTCTCATGGTGGTCACATGTTCATGCTCAGCTGCGGCTGCTGCTGCTGCTTGCTAATCCCACCTCAACTTGCTCCAGTTCCACCTCCCAGATCCCCAAATTTGGATATTTCTGGCCCCAGTAACTAATGAAAGCAGGGAGAAGGAAACCCAAAGCCCCAAGCTTAAAATGGTCCCTTTGGAAATGCTGAGGTTAAATCACGGAAGATATAACATCCTTTTAAACAGTCATCATTTCTACACAGCTCCTCTCTTGAAAACTGTTTAAAACAACTATGTTTTCTATTTTCATGCAGTTTGCTGATGAATGCCATAGCAAATGACACACACTGACAACTTTTGCATCCTGTCCAAGTCCATTAACAGCCTTGTGTTGTTGTTCAAAAGCCACTCACTCACTGTGAGCCTCTCTTGACAGCAGAGTCACAGAGTCGGCTCATACAAATGTTTTCACCGTGGAGCGTCTGTACCTTGTTGTCTTTGGCTATTTTGGTTCTGAGCTGCAGAGGCGCGTTATCAGATTTCTTGGTTTAGAAGTGCAGTAGGTCAGCCCTCCCGATAGAACTTTGACGACTGCAGAAAATCAATACTGCTGCAGCTGATATTAATGGAAACTCTCCATTAAGTCCTATCTAGTGTCTGTGTGCTGTGCGCATGCATGTGACCTCTGTTTTCTCTGCCTTGTGGGGTCCTGACAGGAATAGAAACTACCCAGAAAAGTCTCCACTTTCGAAGCTAGTTCCGCCAGGTGTTTATACCCGGCGAGCGTCATAAGGAAAACACCTATTTTTAGGTTGGAAGGTTACGGTTAGAGGTTAGGCGAAGTGTGCTGGTCAATGGAGCCTTCTAAGAAGTCAAACAACAAGGATACTGTTTGTGTGAATGTATGTGTGTGTGTTAACCCCTTAAAGATACAGTCATGTGCCTTATAGTGTAAACTCTCACCTCCATGCGGACGGGGTTCACCAGTGACAGCTGCACATGCTCAGCTCTGTTGATATATGAAGGCAGCTAGCAAGTGTGGATGCTGTTTAGTTCACCCTGACGTGGGACCTAAATACCACCTGTTCTAGACACGTACTGCACGTGTATTTTGAAATGCTATATCACAGCTTGTATATATGGCTCTGATATTAGACCAAGCTACACACCAAGGCTATCAATGTTGGTTGTGCATGTTCAATCAAAATAAATAACACCTGGCAATGACATCTATGATTAAATCAGCTGTATAAACAGTAGAAGTTGACATCTACTCTGTTCGACAAAGGCTAAATGCAGTGTTGGCCAAGAGTTATGACTGAAATGAAACCTTTGGATAGCTGTTCTATCTTGTGACAAAATTTCCTAGATAATCTTACTATGTTCATGAGATAATAGGGTGTGAAAATTACACAATCCAACCAAAAACCCAAGACAAACTGCAGTAAATGTAGTTACTGCGCCCTGCCTTGCGTCCATGGAGATTTGAGATTCTATCACGCCAACGAAAACCACAGCAAGACAGTGAATGGGGAACATGAGAATGAGGACAACAAAATGATTGATAACGTGGCAGTGACCATAGTAAGACCAGTAGTGATGATGATACGGATGAGGAAAGGGATTTTTTGAAGTTGGGGTTGGGTTGTATGAGGTAATTACCCATAGTCAGTGTATTACCTACAGTAGATGTCAGATGGCATGTCCCCAGTTTGGAGAAGCAGGCTGGAGTCTGACACAGAAGCTAAGCAATGTACTGCAGTGGATGGGAGTCAGCAATAAAACTTATTTTAGCCACCTAAAAAAAATCTGTACCTTTCTGTCAGACAGACTGTTCCAACAGGAAAGCTGTTGACAGCTTCAGTTTCACATCTTCTTCTTTCACATCTTCAAAGAGACTATTCCATTGACAAAAACAGTATTTTTGGCTCACTGAACACAGGAGCTGCTGGTCTACCACTGCCTTGATCTGTTAGATAGTTTGTGTTATTGTAAGACTGTGGCGTTTAATTTGGTTAGTTCAGATTCACCAGTCACACAGTAATACAGAAAAATAACTGTTTGAGGCAGTGGTAGACCAGCAGCTCCTGTGTTCAGAGATGTTAAATGACTGTTTTTCTCAGTGGAGTCTGGCTTTGATGAAGGTGATACAATGGCTTCAGTTCCCAGTCAGAAACCGCTATCTGACAGAAAAGTAAAACAGTGAAAATACTTTTGAAAGACTTTTGTTTTGGGGTGTTTAAAACGTGTTTCATTGCTGACCCCATCCACAGCAGCACATTGCCTAGCTTCTGTGTCGGACTCCAGCCTGCTTCTCCAAACTGGGGGCGTGTCGACAGACATCTACTGCAGGTAACAGATTGACTATGGATAAGACCCTCATACAACCCCACTTCAAAAAATCTGAACTTTCCCTTTAAGTAATCCTAATATAGGTCAAACCTGACGAAGTGAATATTGCGACAAAAAGACACTTAAAGGGTTGCTTCAAATTCTTGTTTACTTCTTTTAAAACAGATATCTGCAAATGAAACGAGTACAAATTTGAATCTAGTCAGAAATAAAAACACTTATCCTCAAACTTACAAAGACACTAAAACTGTAATATCTGCGAACTGTCAAAAAACTTTGAAGCCATTTTTCTCAGTTTCAGCGTCAGTGTAATTACTGCAGTTAGCCTTTGTAAGGCAGAACAGTTAAAACCATAAAAACACGCTGTACATATGTAAATCTTCAGGTCTGAGCAATGAATGAAACCCTTCTGCTGATCCAGATGGTGTTCACTCCTACAAAACATTAAAAACTAATCACAAGTCACACAAGATAAAGACTTGTCCTTCATGTCTCCATCTGTTCTGAGAAATCTATCTCATAATTAATTCAGTCCACAGCCGTAACACCGCATTGACCCTGAGAGGAGAGGAGGTCCAAATATAATTAGGGTGCAAATAAAATTAGGGTGTGCTATAATAACAACCTCCTCAGTTTATCGTCCTCTAACCTTGGATGCAGTCTGTGGTGCCTGTGTGTCAAATCAGCTGAGGACACTTACGTATTTCCAGCCCAGGGTAGTCTTGCAGTTCTCACAGTAGATATCTGCTACAGCGTGCAGGCCTGTGAGCAGAACTCTCTCCTCTGCAGGGCCACACCCGACATTCACCCTGAGAGAGACAGAGAGAAGGGAGGTGGGGGGTGGAGACGAAAGTAGAAAGGAAGAAGAGGGAAGCGGAGACAAAGAAACAAAAGTTACAAATTGTGCAAGTGGCTCAAGTTGCTCAGTTGCATGTACTGTACGATGTGCTCAGAGTGAGTCACTGCCTCACACCCACTCACACAGCGCATACTGATAGGGCGCCAGGCCACGGAGCATAGATTCAAATAGCCTAATTTTCACACTCAATTCAGCTGATAATGACTCTGAGGCACAGGCTGGCTCTGTCTACACCGCGGCTTCAAAACAACACATCTACTGTGTGGTACAGCACGCATTACTAACCTGTTTCAAAACACCACCATCTTAGCTCATTGTTCTCCTGTCTAAGACAACACATACACATGCAACAACAGACAGATACTCACACTGAGTTGAACAGGTAGGCTCTGCCTTGGCTGCCCTGGAACGACTGCAGTGAGAGGATGAGACACAGATAAAAAGGCTGAAACAAGAATCGACCCTTTCATACAGTGAAGTAATAATATAAAACGACATAAGCATGCTATTATATAGCCGTAATGCTTCAGTAAAATAAGAGACAGAGAGGTTTGGTTTCCTTATAAATCACCCACGTGTTGATTTGTGCCGGGCCTTCACTAATAGAAGCTCTTATTTTAAAACCTGTAGACGAAATCTATTTTAATATCTACTTTAAAATGGGGCGCAGTCTCCCAGTAACAGCCCATATGCTCCTGATAGCATCACCGTTAGCTAATGCATAAGGAGCTTCACCACTTGCAGTTATTTTCTCGCAGGCCTTTATTTTCCACATTAAGAAAGCTTAAACAGATTTGTGTCGTGCGCCTGTGTTACGACCAGCAGAAGGCCTTTGTGCACAGGTGAGCTATGTTGTCATAATCGCACGTGGAAAAAGTGATAGTGCATTCATAATCCAATTCACTAACCAGCTTATAACATAATCCATCCACAGGCGGTTGTGTGGCGTAGGCTGACACAAACATACAGGTGTTCAGCCTGTTGTTTGTTTTCATTATTCCTCATATGTTCTCCCTCTTTTTAAATCTTTAATTGCTGTTAATCCTTGTAAATTATATTTTACATTTACAACAGTTGCTTTTACACTGTATATAGGCATAGAGAAATTATAGGAAAATAAAAATAAGAAGTAAGAAAAATGAAGGAGACCAAAACAAAACAGTTAATTCCTTGTCTCTGAAGTAAAATAATGAAGTAAAGTACTGTCAGACTGTAATCATTAGCTGCCTGGATGTAACCACTGTCACTAATGGTTTCCAGGGGCAACCACCGCTGGTAAGATGAGTCAAGTCACCGGAGCAGAGTGCTGCTTTTCCTGCTGGTTACCTTGGAGATGAGCTCGTCATGGTTGGCCAGGTGAGCTCGGCAGTGGATGCAGCTGTAGGTTCGGTGGCAGCTCGGCAAGTATGCCTGGAAAGTCTTGGAGCGCGTCATTCTGACCATGGGCGGAGTTGGCGGGCGGTGCAAGAAGGGACTGCCAGCCCAGGTCGGCTCACAAGGGAAGCACCGCAACACACAGGTGAGGGCCGTGGTGGGCGGTGGGTTGGGAGGCAAACACCTGAGCACGGGGAGGATAACACAGCAGCTCATGGTTACACAGTTGCGTAACAGATGTTTTTTTAAGCAGATGTTGTAAAGTGATCCACAGGTGTATGACTGCTGATGGGATTACAGTCTGTGCGCTGAGAGAATTCTCCAAGCTGCTTGCATCTTAGAAACTCTTGAAACCTCAAAGAGCCATGATGTGATGAGACATCATGCATTATTAATGAGCCTGTGTTCCCGGCTGAGTCACCAAATTTCACATTTTGGATTCAAGCTGAAAACAATGAAGACATTCTACTTTAGGAGATGAGATTCAAACATGGAACAAGAACATGCTTCCACCACACAGGGAACCACTACTTCTCTCAAGAGTCCATGAGTGAGTCCAAGATGGTCGAGAGGAAAGTTTGGGCTACTAAAGTAGGGACAGACAAAAAATCAGTGGGTATCTATTTTTTTGCTTAGTTTAAATCATTTTTAGCCACGCTAGCAGCGTAGCTCTAGCAATGAAAATGTCCGTCTAATCATCACCCCTCCACTTCTGTACAGACATTCATGGTGCCCAGAGGATGAATCCTGACTCAGCCACTTGCATTTCCTGTAGGCTTTGTGACACCATCAAGACTGGGCCCAAAAGTTTCATTTTTACATGAAGTTATTTTGTCACAACCAAATACTAGGGATGTTCCCAACAATTAACATCCCTGATGTTTATACCCGTGTATAGGTAGACTAGATGAGTAATCTAAAAGTCAAAAACAAAGACAAAATTGAGCACAATTCAAACTAGAAGGTTAAACACTGTCCCAAATAATACTGTGTATAGGATCTTTTCAATAACCAAATTGTGTGTTTAATGCCACTGAAATATGTGGCACTTTGCACCATGCATTAGTCATTTTGCACATAATCCCACAAAACATGTAAACAACTTACTAAATAAAAGTTAATTAACATTTATTGAAAACAATATTCTTTGAGAAAATCTTCAGTAATCCTGTCTGATTATTGAAATGGCATTTTGACTGGGTGAACCCTATCCCATAAAGTGATAGTAATTTTTTAAAATAATTTGTCATATAATTTCATATATCTTCCTCATTACAACACTCATGTACAGATATCATTTCATTCTTTCTTTTTTAAGTGAGAAATTATGTGAATAGGCGTGTCACTCAGTGATACAACAGTATAACAAACTATTGATATATAATGATAAATAGAGATGGATAACAACAACAGCTACAGTACAGGTTTGAATTTTAAAGTATGCTACCGTAATTTCGATGTCGAATATATTTTGATTCCATTTCATATTCAAGGTTCTGCCCACTCTATTACATGGTTCATAATCAGTTGTTCTTCTTTCAGTACTTCAACCTTCATGTACAGAAACATAAGGCTAAGAATTTTAGCCTGCAAAAAATAAATACATAAAAAAAAATGACAGCAAAATAAATTAATTAAATACAAAAAGAAAAACAGATAAAAAAGACTGTCAGACCTGATACAAAGAACAACATTCCAGTAGCTTCTATTCATTAACCTTCTTCCAAATGATAGTAATCTAAACATTTAATCTATCTTTTTTCAAACAATAATCTACAAAATAATTTTAACTGTGTAGTATTTATGGTGCAGACTTGCAAGAATAAACATCCCTCCCAAATACCGGCAAGACCAGTGACATTCCCATCAGACTCAGCTGCACTTTGTGTCCATTGCCAATTAGTGAATGTTAGCATGCTAACATGCTAAACTAAGATGCTGAACATCCCAGTGACGGCAGTGTCGGCAGCCTGAATTGGACCAGCTGATTTGGCCCGATTCTGGGGCATCATTTAATCCGAGTCTCAGCCAAGTCAGGCAATCAGTTGCGGCCCGGCTAATTTCATCCGGTGTGCAGAGTTTGGCCAATGCTGGGCCAGGTCATTTCTAATAACGGCCCAGTGATGGAAGCGTCAGCAACCGGACCCAGCCCGGCTAATTTTATCTGGCATGCCGAGTTAAGGCCGATTCTGGGCCAGGTCATTTTGGCTACCTGGGATGGCATACCTGCTAAGACATTAGCATTTGGTTGTGTGCATGTGTGACATTAGCATTTAGCTAAATGCATCACTGTAAGTAGAGCATAACAGAGCTGCTAGCGTGACTGTAGACTCTTATTCTTAGTAGTAAATTGAAACTCTGTGGGTTTTGGTCTGTGTGTCAAACATTTTTGGATGTCAGCCTGCAAATATGCTGAGCATTTTTCATGATTTCCTGGCATTTTATAGACCAAACAATCAACTAATTAATTGGTGTGGCAGAAAATTGATATTGAAAATAATCATTAGTAGCAGCTGTCTCCATTAACCTGTGGTCAAACCGTTCTGCACTGACTCCAGTTCAATGCAGCAACACACAGGCAGCAACGCTCGCTCACATTCTGTGTTTAAGTCTATGGGGCTGCAGAGATAATCTTCTTAGCGTAGCATAACTGTGAGGATCGTGCTCTGCTCACTCCATGATATCCAACTAGACCAAGCCCTTAAAATACTTCTGCTGGTGTGCCCTGGTGACTGAGAAGATTAGTAAGCTGGCCTGGGAACCCATCCCAAAGGCTCGGGGCCAGAAGGACAGGAGTATGTTTTGACTAACTGTACAGGAGGTGGTTCGGGGCCTGTGCTCTCTACCTTGTGCTGCAGATATAATCTTTGTGGGTTTATTGCTTAATTCAACTTTAATTGTGATTCCAGCCCTGTAGCTCTGGTGTTAAACACAATCATCAATCACAGAATGTAATCTAGTTTTATTCCCCGTTGCTGCTGCCTCACTAAACCAGTGTGCACATTTTATTGTCACCTGCCTGTTTCTATAATCAAGTGTTTCACAGTAAAATAAAAAACAATGACCTTTCCAACTGAATAAAGTCGATCATTTCTGTGGTTTACAGGACGATGACTCTATAAGATACTGCAATAACTTGAGCTGTTTCACCACCTTCTGTCTTCTCTCCTTCCTGTCTGTCTTTACTGAACCATCTGGAAAAACTAATAAAATACTGAATGGGAGCAGGAGGCCTCTGTGAGTTCAGGACAAACAACAGAGGGAGAGACAGAGAGAGGCCTCTTTACTTTACTGCCCTACAATATGATTGTTTTTAGTGTCAGACAGAGGCTGATAAAGGCTCCAGTGCTGATGGAAAGGACCGGGGGATATAAATAAATAAGGCACTGAGACGTGCCCTTGTTTTCTCTCCTCTGGCTCACTGCCAGCGGCGTGGGATTGGGGCACAAAGACACGTTCAGTGCAGTTGTCGGAGCTGACCCCTGACGCACACACACACAGACTGATGTTAAACCCAAAGCGTGTTTCATGCTCTCAGTCATTTCAGGACTGAGGACCCGGAGGAAGTTTATGTAGGATCTGGTTCTCTGAGCTCTCTTCAAGCTGTTACCTCGGGGGCTAAAAAATGAAGCCAACGTGAAAGTGCCAAGAAACGCAGTTCCTCGAATGGCCACTTGAAGCTGGCTCAGGAAGGGAGTGACTACCCGTAGACCCCCATTGTCAATGCTCAAAACATGTTTACAGCCTGGTTTTACCACTTCATGACAACTGTATGGGGGTGAATATTTACATATCTAAATCTGAAAGCTATTAATGCTTAAAAATATGCTTAACTAAAGCCATGACAACAGACAGGCTGTCTGCAAGGCGTCACCACAGTCTATGAGTCAGATCCAACCCTTGCCTCTCCAAAGCTCCACCCTCTCATCCACATATGGTCACTTCTGCCCCAAAAAATCCAAGATGGCGATGGCCTAAATGCCAAACTTCAACAACTTCAAAACGCGAGTCTACAAACCAATAGGTGACATCACTGTAGCTACGTCCGTTACTTTTATACAGTCTATGGTCCTGCCATACAGAAATGACAAACTGACACAAAGACAATGTACTTATGTAATTAGAAATGTTTGCAAGAGTTCGGAAATAATTAGTGGATGAATCTATAAGTCAATTTGACAGAAAGTTTATTTTCATAATTTGTTATAATTAATTCAAACAAAAGTAGTGAAATTTTTCAAGTCCACCCTTTTTAAATGTGAATTTTTGCTAATTTTTTAAGTCTTTTATGAATATGACCTGAATATATTTGAGTTTTAGACTGCTGGTCAGACAAGACAAGCAATTTGAATTTAAATTAATCAAGAAAATCTCTTCCATTCGCATGAAGCTGCCTGATGACAGCTGAGTAATTAGTCTTAGTACTGTGGGGAATCTAGGAATGTAAGCTTCAAACTTAAGCTTCCAATTTAATGACATTAAACTCAAGCTTCTTCTTCTTCCAGGAAGCACTTGCTACAAGGCACTCGGGATAAAAGTACTGGCTAAATGTGTTAAATGTAAATGTGATGTATAGACGAGAACCTGTCCATCATGTCTGACAGGCGAGATGTTAACTCGAGCTCTGTGGGACGCTGTTAACTGCACGTCGACGTATAGTGCATCACGATACTAATGTGCTCTCAACGGACTTTCAACAGCAGCGCTGGATTATCGTATTGCACGTGTTACACATCATCTTGTGGGTCATACATAATCCATATGGAGCTCTCTCTGCGTATCATCTGCATTCGGTCTCAGAGGATTCACTTCATTAAAGCCATAACAACTGTGAGCCAGAGCATGTTAGTGGCTTTGAATGAAAACAGCTGATACCACAAACTCACAAGATTAAAAACACAACACGTAGTCGCCGTATGATGAAATATTTTAATAATTAATTTTTTGTTTATGTCATTTTTTTCAAGCAAAAATTGCCAACCATTACTTCCTCCATCTCAGTTATGAAGATTTGCTGTTTTGTTTATCTTTGTAAACTAAATTTGTTGGCCTGGAAAAACATTTACAGACTCAGGCTCTGTGAAGCTGAACTCATGACAAGCACTGATTCACTCTATTTTGGCATTTAACGGACAACAAACACATCAGTCTCATACTCTGTATTGGAACCATGTTAAATTTCAT